TGTAGTTGGGCCGGCCCAACTTTAGCACTCTAGTTAGGACGGGCCCAACTATAGTTGGGACGGGCCCAACTATAGTTGGGACGGGCCCAACTATAGTTGGGACTGATGCTATAGTTGGGGCATAACAGTAACGTCAACACACCGTCAACACTTACAAAATGCATAGAAAACAGAAAACAAACATATCGAACTGTAATGTATACGCTTAAGAATAATTTCTATTTAATCGAGTTTCCATTTTACTACATTTCAAGGGAAATTTTCACGCGAAAAAATTGTCTCTGAGCAGCGCCGCCGTTCACCGCTATCTTGCCTTCTCATGGCGTCTGGACAGTACCATGGTTCACTGTATACGGGTGACCCCCTGTAACGTAATGGTATGGTTCGTCTGACCGAGAGGCAACATGGCTAACGTCTTTCGTGGCTGTGTGGAGGGTGTTATTTTCGTGAAATAAAACGGCCTCTAACCGCAAATGTCGCTGACAGTTGTTAGCCAAATTGTATTTTTTTAGGCATTATATCGCTATCGAATTGCGTTTCTGTTAACTTAGAACGTGATTTGGGTGTTGACGTTAATTAGTATGACCGTTCACTGTCGCTGTTGTCACCTGGTTGTCGAAAGTTTAACGTCAGAATGTTACTGACATTAACATGATTAACGTAGGAATCATGGAGGTAGCCAATAAATCCATGCTCTAACGTGTCTAACTAGCGTTAGGTCTACATGCTAACCAGCTACCATGGCTACCATAAAGTTAAACAGCAAAGTTAATTTCTTACTTTCCTCCGTCTGCCATTTTGCAGCGTTTCACACTTGTTAGACAATCCTCCGACTTTCAGACCTTCTACTTTGTTCTAGACTTTGTTTCTCTTCTTATTTACACCTAGGCTAGGAGTAGGAGTGAATTTATATGCGCCAGTGTTTTGAGAAATACTCGGTGAGGATGATTCACGTTGCAGCAGAGATAAAAGAATCTGCAGAGCTCAGAGTCACCTCGGTTCACAGAAAAAATGTTACTCAGCTTCAGTAACTAGAACACAGTACCACCGGCATGAGTTATTATTACATGTATTACGTACTACATGTACAATGTACTATCATTTTGTACGCACATTATTGTGTGGAACCACACGTGTAATGACATAGGGAACTCTTGTCAGTGATTTATTATGCTGATTTTATAATAATTTTTAAATATAAATTTTGAATATTACTATTAAATATTACTATTAAACAAAAAATTAATTATTTAAAATAATATTTCTGTTTATTCATTGTCAAAAAATATTTTTCAAAAATTTTTTTTAATAGAAATTTTGTATATACGAGGTAGAAAATAAAGATATATGTAAATACGCAGTCTGGCGAGAGACTGGGACCAGACTGCATCATGTTCAAAACTGATTTGTCAGGGTTGTAAGTCTGGTATTTTCACAAATAGGAGCATTCTGGTTGGTTTGAAGTTATTGTATACTGGATACTAGACAATTGGGCACCTTTTTCCCTGGGCACGACCACGCTACTCGTCACTGATTGTATAATCCACAACCTCGGTCTCACAACGTCATGAGTTTGGAGTGCGGGTACGCAGTGTCCCGGTTCGTGCATGGAGGGCGGCAGTTTTTGCGCAGACGAGCCTAAACCCAAGTAGGGATGATGACTTGAGGGATAATTAAAAATGCACGTCCCCTTAAAAGATTCCCAAGTATCCCAGTCTTTAAAAAATGAGGAAATGCGAATCTTTGAACTTGTTTTTAATTTTACGTGACTTTATTCTGTTTTTGAGTGAGCAGTGCGTGTTTGAACTTATGGAATGAGCTCATATGTGGCCCCAAAAATACGTCACACCGTCACTGACTCCTAAACCTCATCTCTTTCTCTCTTGGTAGACAGTCCTGGCAAATAAAAGGCTTCAGCTTTCCCCTTTTCCAGGTTTCTTGAGAAAAAAATAAAAGGCGGCAAGAATTCAGGAAGTCTCCGAGCTGAGGAAAGAAATCATCATGTCAGCGAAGCGCTGGCTGGCTACTGTATGGCTCCATGATTTTAGTAAGCCTAAGTACTGGGCCTGCGTGGAGACCTACATGCAGCCTGAAGAGGTCTAACCGTGGAAGAGAAGAAATACCACATGATGACAAGTACATGATGACGATAAGCATAAGAAACTGCACTTTCCGCAAACACCGGCGTTCAGAGCACGGCGCACATGAAATCACGGCTTGGGGCCACCGTACACTGAGCTGTACACATTGAACACTGAGCTAGAAGCCTGAAGGAGCTTTAGCCTTGAAATCCACGCCGCTTTATAGTGTTTTCGTGCCGCTTAATATTTCACAGTCCACTTTCACTGAAATTATGTGCCCGTCAAGTCACATGGATTAAATTTGTGTTTGCCAAAAAATCCTGCAGTTTCTAATAAAACACCGATGAGACAGACGCAGTCAATATTTATGCGGGTGTGGGACAAACCTATGGAGGCCCTGTTCGTGATGTGGATACCACAAAGTTGACCGATCTTCAATTTGGACGTCTTCCCCCTCTTTATTTCAGTTTTAGTGACCATAAAGCTAATCGATGATCGCCATATTTCCCAGGGATGATCTTGCCCCCCCCCTTTAAAAAACTCAATATCCTTCCATTCCGTGGGATTTGTGTCACCGGTTACGTAGTACTTAAAGTTGCGGGCACTTCCTAGACATATCTCAACGACAAAGATGTGCGAGTTGATGAATGTTGTTATACCAGCAAATATATAGTGACCAGGATATACTGCCACCATTTTATATTCCCTTTCTGGTGGGAAAACACGTACTGTGAATTGTGAATAAATCCGTACGTTGCTTAAATCGACATGGGCAAATTGTGCTTCATCGTTTTGTTTGTGAGTCTGCCGAGTACTTGCGTTAACCTCATCGAGGCTGGCTTACCTTTTAATAAGAGAGATCAACAGGACGGTGGGTATTCCGTTTGACTGAATTTATCATGTGGCCTATATACCGTACCATTCCAAAACCAGAATGAAGTTGGTAATTGAGGTTTTACAGTTCCTCCCCTCGTTATTAATTTCATACTTTAAAGCGCTCCAGATTCAACGGTTGGGTGCAAAAATCTTCGGTAGTTATTATACACGGGCAAATAAAGTTGTGAAATTTGCATCGTTCTTGTTACTGATTATTGATGGTATCATCTCTGAAACAGGTCACATTTCTTCAGCATGGTGTTAGAATGGTATGATGCCTTGAATTTATTTTGACACCGATTTTTTTTAAAGTAAAAATTGGACGCTTTCCATTTTTATTTCAAAACAGGCCTGCTTTAAAATTTAACTTTTCTCTCCATGCGCTACGCGGGTCCGCCTCTTGAAAGTGTGAGGTGTCAATAACCTGGGCAGCAAAGCACTACGCTACATTGAACCGAAACTACATGGATGTAAACATGCGTGCTTTTACATGCACTCCAAGACTCCTCATTTTGGGAAAGCCGAGATTTTGGCGGCAGATATCGCTCTCGGTAGAGAGGTCTGAAAACAATGGCTCTTTAATCGGCAAATTATGTTGCTGCCAAAGTTTTACAGTGGTAAGTACAGAGCATACTCGGTTCTGGGAATGATGTCAGTTACTCCTTTATGTTTAAACTTTCACGCATGGCAGTTTCTATCACCAATGTTGGCCAAATGGGTAAAATGACGTCATGCACCACCGGCCTGAGTCTCATCGAAAGTGCACGAGCTTACACTGGTTACGGGTGTTACTGTGGATTGGGAGGCGCCGGGAACCCGCTGGATGCAACAGACGAGTAAGCTTCTTCTTTTTTTCAGTACTAGCCTATTGGAGTGACAGATTTTGCGAACATCGATCAGTCGATACAACGTAATCACGCGCTGAGTCAATCTTTTGAGGAACGAGGTTGACACCAGGAGTAACTAACAGAAGCTTTACATGGTAGACATCTTTCGGGGCAGTTGTTTTGTTCCGTGGGGAAATCTCCTTTAAGCATACCCCACGTCACGCAAACCGTTTGTAATTTTCTCCCAGAGAAGGAAAATTTACCTCGTTGAGTCTTCAAGCACTGCTTAACCCTAACCCGTTTTGAGTGTAAATTGAATGATTCAAGACAATTAGGGTTGGAGGTAAGAAACTGCCCAAACAGCCGGTAAATAGGAGAGTGAATTAGTTGATGAAACCATCTCACTTCTTCATTCGCAAGCAACTTTCGGTGGTTGAAATATGCAACCATTCAGTATTCCAGCCGCAATGAGCCATCGATTCTCAAAAAAAAAAGGTCAGATAAGGCGATTTTTAAAGGTTCTTGGGTGGGATTTTCGTGCAGATCTTTAAATCATAACCGATGTACTAAGGTTCATTCTAGTTGAACGTTAGCCAAGATACAGCGAGCTAACCAGTCGTGCTGATATCCTCGATTTCAATTTCCCTCGCAACCGCCAATATTGTCATTTCATTTCATAATTTTATTTATTTCATTTTCAGGATACACGTACAAAGACATTCAATACACAAATTATTTATTTACACAGTTGAACAAAACATAAAGGACGTAACATTTAACCAGCTCCCGCTGAATTTCCCAAAAGAAACCTGGTTTCTGTCGAGGGCTCTCCAACTGGTTACATGGGGAAAGGGAAGCAATTAACATAAAAATTATAAAATGCAAAAACACAAGGAAATAAAAGCAATAGCAACATATCATGAAAAAAAATCAATAAAATAACTTCAAATAGCCCCATCAGTCCCAAATCCTCCGACTTAAATATGGTTTTACATACACCCTGGGGATTTAATAAAGCCAGGAATAAACAAAAAATTGAAAAAAACTGAAATGAGCGTCTTTACTTAAAGTGCACAGGAACAAATCTCCTGTTTTCGGAACGGTTTTGAAGAAAGTTTGCAAACTGTATTTTCCATTCTATGTTTTCTCATGTCAGCGTTCCTTTCTCTCTTTCTCCATTGTCTGAAGCTGCTGTTACTTTCATGACAAATGCTACGACCAAAGTCCATGCTCGTACCGACAGACGTACACCATCCGCTACCAAATGACCACGAGTTCGTGTGGGAGCGACGATGCAACCGTGACATGCAGTAAGACATCAAAAAATTGGAAATTCAATTTAACCCTAACATTCCTGAATCCTCCAATGTTAATATGATTTTGCACACACGTAGGGAGTTAGGGTTAAAGGAAGATTGGTGAATTTTTCTTATACACTCCTCTTCAACGTACGAAACCATTTTTGGCCTGCAGCGGGGGTTATTTTTTCAGAAAAGAATTTTCCACGCTTTTCTGGACCTATTTCCGCAGCTACGGTTGTATCATTCTTGTGACATTGAGTCTTGTGCCAAGAGTGACGGCACAGTTTGCTCATGAATATTGGTATTCGATATAGCATAAAAAACAAAAAGGTACAAACACAGCTTCAAATAAGCGAAACAAAAAGGTGCTGAAAGTTCATGTGTACCAATGTACCAAAAGTGTGCTGTTTTTCATTCACATTTTAGGATGTCAATGATGTGATAACGAGACACCTAATGTGTAAATTTCAGTCAGAGATTTGGGAGGTTTTTTCTGCAGTTCCATCTCATGCAAGTTTTACTGGAAAAAACCTGATTACCGTTTCAGAGACAGCCTCGGACTATCCTGGGTATGATGGAGACGAGAAGGAATGCGCTCTGACGATCTGTAACTGCGACAAAGATCTCGCCTACTGCCTCGCGGAGGCACGGTCAACCTATAACGAGGCTTATCGCAACTGGAGCAACTCCGAATGCTAGACCTTGGACCGACTGATAGCCACCCTCCCTGTCTCATAAAGGAACGTGCTATTTATTTGCATCATGCAGCTAAAAAAAAAAAGACGATACCGATTTTATTCTCTGCTCCCTTAATTTTTATGAAAAAAAATTAAGCCTATATCCAAAGTGGAGGGTTGAAGTAGCAGGGTCCTTGCAACAACTTTTCTTTCACATTTTGAATATCTTTCTGCTAATTTAAATGTATGAAAACCGTCACCTTTTATTAACTTTAGTGAAGAGTGCACACTTTGGAAGATTTCAGTTTGACTCGTGCTTTTCCTTTCTAAGATTTCAATTTGACCCATGCTTTTCCAGATCATGGATGACAATGATCGTTGTGATGTCATCTCAGGAAGACCCTGTTTATTTGGGGTGTTCTGTTCAAATAACCTACATCCATGTACTGTCATCAACTGAAATAGTATCCAGTCCCAAAAAGAGAAAACTGAATGCAACAAAGTCTCAAAAATTCTGGCCGAATATAGTACTGAAATATCTATAACAGCACGACTTCTTCCTGATTTAACATTAAATTGTTTGCTTAATATAAACATACAGAACTAGTTACATCGGCAAAAAAGTATTTTTGAAGTATCTAAAAATGCCCTTAAAATTATGAAATTTCAAATTAATGTTAAATGGAACACAAAATTGCAAGATAAGAATCACGCTGTGTGAACTATTACATTACATACTGTTAAATCAGAAGAATTATTCGAAAACGCAACCTTAAATCATATGCGTAATTTATGCGTAATTACAGTCTATTCAACGTTGAACTTGACACCCTGTAAGAAAAGGCTGAAATCTGAATACTAGTAGCTCCGTACATCAGTTGAATACATGTACAATTCTTCAGTAGGTACAAGGAAGTATATCGTCGCAGTGCATTGTTGTACTTACACATCAAACTCGTGAAACAATTGTTTCAAAATTCTCTTTAGAGTTTCATTAAATATACAATACAATAAATTATTTAAAACAGGTTTGTACGAATTGATTGCTGCAATCATCGAATTAAAGTCTACACAGCAGCTTTAAACTGGAGTAGATTTGAAATTAATATGTACATCAATGTTTACTTGGACGAAATATTAAAACAAAATTTAAAATGTCATGCACACCTTTGGTAAAATTTATCGTATAAACATGGCCTTACCAATAATGTATCGTCGTAGGGGTATATTTTATATATCTTGAAAATGAATTGGCTAAGATGTAAACTCTGATAAAACTTATACTGTCTTTAAACAAGGTTCTGGATAAAATGTGTGACCAATCGGTCAACGGTCTTTAAAGACAAACATTTTAAGGAAAGCATTTTATACCTATTTACAAAAGGAGTACAAATTTGTGGAATCACAAGAGCGGGAACTGTACAAAACTTCTTGATATAATTTTTTTTCTTTTTGTAATTATGATGACTAGATGTGAATTTGAGGCGTGGAGGCATATTACTCACAGTGGAGCCATCATGCGGATCAAACTTGACCTTGCTCGGCCATCAGAAGATCCTAGGGTCGCGTTGCTCGTCATTTTCGTTCAGAATGTCACGAGACAACATGACTCGTTTCATTACAACGTCCATCTCCCACTTCTGGTGGTGGGGTCCCCGACGGCACCCTTCGGGGCGCCGCCCCTTGGCCGCCAGCGTGTTGCAACAAGACCAGTAAAAGTACTGCCTGTAGGCGGAGCGCTGGTATTTGTTCAGATGTTCGTGCTGCCAGCGGTGCCACACGAGTGGTGGGACGGGCGGCAGCGGGTGGAAAGTACACTCGTTGCCCGTGTGAGCTTCGGCGCTGTAACCCTGCCCGCACGAGAAACAACTCAGCCGCTGACTGTCGCCCTGGTAGGGACTGACGGCGAAGAACGTCTCCCTCAGGAAGTTGTTTTCCCGTTTGAGTTCGGCGTTTTCGTCTCTCAGTTGCCGGAGTTCGGCCTCCCACAGCTGCAGAGTATTGTTCTGTGCGTTGTGCTTGCGCTTCAACTCGGCTAGTTTGGCCTGGTAATCTTTCTCCATCTTTTCCCTCTCTGCCTCTGCCTTCGCTAGGGCGACTCTGACCTGCTGTATGCGCTCCTCCTGCGCCGACTTCACTTGATCTCTCTCCCGCGCGATAGCTGCCCGCTCTGTTGCCATAGCGTCTGCGTAGGCCTCAGCTTCATTTTTCCTCATCTCTAAAAGCACGATCCTCTCATGATCCCTCCGCGAAGCTTCCACCTGCAGCTTCAACGTTTGGACCTCCAACCGTGTCGAGGCCTCTCTTTCCTCCAGTTCCTTGAGCTTAGCGCTCAGTCTCTGTAGCACCGTATCGCAAGAGTTTAATTCAGAAGGCCTACTTCTACCAGGGCTTTCCTCATCATCTTCCTCATTGAGATACTCAGGAAAAGTACTCTCGACAGGTTGATTCCGACTAAAACCTGCCATTGTTTCTGTTGATCTATATTTCACAGGGAAAAAAATTGAAACTGACCGTTTCGTACATATTTTCATCCATACTGAGTAGAAAATGATAAATTCCACTGTAAATGCAAATAACAATGACACCTCTCAGTGACACAATTACACTGATTACATTTGTTCGTGACTCTTCGTAAACGTCCATAAGAGCTATGGTTTCCACATTCCCAAAGCATATTTCTAAAAACGATTATTTCATGCGTAAAAGAATCCTCAACCCCTCCCCCTTAAAGTCTTAGTACTGTTTCTGAGTGCTGGCACTTTCCATTCCTTTGTCCGCAGGGAGCCCCCCCTCCCCTCCCGGTTCAGATGGGTCATAAAATGCAAAGACTAACTTCACTTATCCACAGCCAGGGGTGTGACGGGTCAGAGAATGGAAGGGGGCCAAAGCTCCCCTGACCGAACAAGCCTAGCTAAAATCGGTCGAGTTCGGATATTCAGGGAGAGTCACATGTCGAGGAACAGCGTGCAGTGTTTGCGCAAAACGTGTGGTGGCATAGAACTGATGACGCAATCGAAACGGTGCCCGGGACCGTGTCTGTACGTGTCGCTGGTGTGCAACTTCTGGCCACGGTGGGCGTGTTTTAAACGTCCTCAACTTAAAAACTGCTCCGAAAAGTTAACATTAAATACCTCATAGCTTTCAGGCGAGACGTCTCGTAATACCTGGCCGAGGCCTGCTGCCGAACGTCATGAAGAAAACATGGAGACACGAATGTTCAAAGCATGTGAAGGTTCTACCGACTTCACTCTTGTCACCAGGAAGCCCAGTATAAGTACCTGCAATGCACGCTGTCTGCGGCAGGTACACAATGGTGTACGGGTGTATATGTACGTGCACGGGGCCTTTGACGACTCGGCTTTCCCCCACCACGGCGCCTCTCTATTATTTGAGGACAATAAACCCATCCAAGCGTTTACCTTAACTCACCGTTTGACCGAGTCTACCTCTCTGTAGCTCATTGACGATTGAACAGAATGGCGGTAAAAATTTAGGGAATTCCCACTATGCCTTTTGGAGGATGTTTATTTCTGACCGGTTGATGAGTAATGTTTTCCACTGCGTGTCTGGGATTTTTTTCTGGGATTTCAGAGGAGAGAAATTTGGATTTTTAAATGCGAAATGGACAAAAAGATGGATATCATGCTTTTTTCAAGCATCTATATTGAGACACCGGTAACTTCATGTCTGTCATAACTATTGACAACAGTAAACATTGCCATTTATTTCACCTTTGTCTTCTTCATTCTTTGAAAATGAACCTTTTGTTCTTCAGTTTATATTATGTTCGTGCAAAGTCATGTTGATGTATTTAGGCGTTTATGCTAATACCAATGAGCGGAACTGTGATGTCATTTTACGGGGAAATCCCTGAGTGTCGCGTTGATTTGAGCACAAACCACTCCTTGATGATTTTCACATGTTGCTGTTTTGAAACTGTTTTTCTTTGGGGACTCGATTCTATTCTGTTTGAATATGGGTATAGGTTATAAACAAACAAGCAACCCTTCCTCGGAAATATGTTCAGTAAAATGTACTAGAAAACTCTGGTTCCGAAATTCAAACGTAAAAGCACCATAAACTGGACAGTGTCTTCATGGGGAAGGTGTGAGCGAGGACTAGATCGTCAACTATAGTTCGACTAACAACGCTTGAACGATGGATAGTTTGAACTATTTAGTCAACCATTGGAACCAGACCCTGGGGCATGGTCGCACCACTGGTTATCAATAGCCGAATCGATTATTATTACCAAGGGAACAATTCACTCGATTGTACGAGGTTTCAATAACCATGTACGCGACGAGAATCGCAACCAAGGGTGAAATGTGAGTAACGCTAAAAATGTTTTAATACGCCGACTGGGTCGCTGGAGTCAGGCAACTTGATTTAACTCGCCTTCAGTTGATTGGCACCCCGGCAGTAGCGCCCTCAGTTGCCCAAAAGCTTTACCGTAATTCTAATGGTTGAATAAAAGCGGTTACTTTTCAACACACTCCAACCGACAAAGAAATGAACTTGTTTGCACACATTGAAACACATGCAATTCATAAAAAGTTTTCGATTTCTGTTACTGGAGAAAAGTATTTTGTTTCTACACTACAAGAGTGTCTTTGAGAACCGTTTTTCGAGGTCCCCTACAAGAAAAAAAATCAAATCACGTGGACAGCGTTGCGTTAACACCGTAGTCATGGTCCAATTTAATTAAGGTCGTTGTTCGTTGCTAATATTTCTGAGCAGTAGGCTTAAGATTTCCAGTAACTCCGTTCATGGATGTTGCCAGAAAGCTGCATGGCTCTCTCTAGGAAGCGTGTCAAAGATCGTTAAACGATACCACATTGACAAGTCCAGGCTAGAGTTCACTCCAAAGTATTTTCATGCAAACTAGGGTTTTCACCCTCTGTCCATTTTTTCCCTTTTTTTCCTTATATTTTAACATTTTCCAGGGGAAAGCTCAGTGACTCTATTCGCAACTCTCAGACCACATGGAGAATACAATTAGAATATGCACCTCTGTCAAGTAGAACTAATATTATTAACCAGTACAGGTTAGCACATCATGCTTTTAAACTTCACATTGTAGACCGTCCGAGCTCTGAAGAAAAATTACTATTTACCTCTCTCACGGATTCTGAGAATCACTTTATCTTTTTGAACTAAAACTATTATCTCAGTCCCTATAGGAAAATTCTTCGCTCCTTAGCGTATTACCTCAGTGACTGCTTAAAAATCTAAGTTCAAAATTTGAAGTTGACCTAATGTGTAATATTTTACAAACCAATAATGTGAGATTCCTTTGAAGAGCTCGTTTGCGCTAAAAAGTAATTCAATGTACAAACTTGGAAGGTGTTACGCCTTTAGATTACAGAGATGCATTGTATTACATTATATGCTTGCCAGTACGGCTAGTATTGCTTCAATCTCGTGTACATTATCAGCCAGCTGTTTTTTTTTTCAAAATTTATGAGAGACCAATTGCTCTGTAACCAAACACAAGTAACTCATCATTAAACACCATAATTAACGTGAAGTGTCTTACTTTAATTTGTGAAAAGAAATCTTCTTTGGATGTTACAAGGCCATATTTGATTCTTATAAGAATGGTTAGAGACACTATAATGTTAAATGTCGAATGAAAAGAACGCCATCAGCCTTGCAGAAGTATGGCCTAAGCAACAGGTGGGCGCTATTTGAAGTGGTGGATTTGAAGCAAAGACAAAACCAAACAGCGCCCTCCTATTGTGTCCGCCATACCTCTAAAAGGCTAATATGCCTTGTCAAGGTTACAGAAAAGACTTACTTTAATTCAATGTATGCAAAGTAAACTATATTTGGCGCCAGACCGGGCCTAAGCTACAGGCCTACTACAACTCGATACACAGTCGTGCTTCTTCGTTACTGCTATATGCCTAGCATTTGGAGTTGCTCCAGTTGCGATAGGCCTCGTTATAGGTTGACCGTGTCTCCCTGAAGCAGTAAGCGAGGTCTTTGTCGCAGTTACAGATCGCTTCAGCACAGTCCTTCTCACTCCCGTAATACCAAGGATAGTCGGAGGCTTTTTCTGAATATAAATGCAAAAAAGATCTCCTGTTTTGAATTCGGGATCAACCGATGATATAATCATATGTAAGCCTAGGCTGTGACAAAAAAACGCGTGCGGTTTTTTCAATGTACTAAAACTTCCTGAGAGCAATTGAGAATTTGTCCGTTGAGATAACGGAATAACTAATTCAGACCCAAAACCTGATGCTGAAAAATTTGGACCGGGCGTATGCAAGATGATATTGGGTAGAGTTGGTCAAGAAATAAATTCGGTATTGTCGTTTCCATGTCTTCGAATCCGCCTGGAGCAGAAGCACCCACCTCATCAAATGAAAAGAGCCAGGCTGGTGGGGGAGTATTCATTTTGTAGCGGTGCGAAAGTAACGCGTTCATTTCATAGCCGTTTGTTAATTAATGAACCAACGAAGTACCAGTTCCCATCGGAGGAGCCTGGGTTGCTAAGAAAATTGCGCCCTCTCTTGGTCCAGCTCGGGGCTCATTACTTACTGCACGTGATGGTTGCATCGGCGGTGCCACACGAACTCACGCTCTTTTTGTAAGGGATGGAGTACTGGAACACGTTGATGGAACATGGACTATGCGTGTAGCAGTTGTCGTGAACGTAACAGCAACTAAGATGAAAGGACAAAAATCTGAAACCAATCAAATTACAGTTGTCGAGAAGAGGGCTCGTTACTGCGCTTTCCCAGATCACATAATAATGGTCCCAAACTTGATTCAATCTCTGCTTAAATTTCTTTTTAATTACAGGGTCTCAATCAAAGGAAACGTCTTGTAACACTTTACCACATTTTAGTGTTCATCAATAAGTATATCATTGCTATAAGTAGGCCTATATGCAAATGACAAAAATCACACCGAGAAGTATTTATATGCTTTAATACAGATAATTTTATGCGGAAAAAAGTTAAGCCTTGAAATATCGCTGGGACCTGTGTATATGACGGAACAATGATTTTTAATGGTTTATCACTCCTCAAGCTGAAGTTTTGATATCTACCCTGAACACCAAATGATGAAAAGTCGATAAAGAATATGAAAATTCCTGGGTTAAGAGCATGGCTGTTGGTATCAAACTCCTTTTCAATTTTCCAGAAGTGCAGTGCAGCGAAGAAGTAAAGTGCAGGGCTTGCAAGTGGCACTTAGTTATTAAGTCGATCGGACCAGTGAATCTTTAGAGTGGTTATTCTTTTAACTCCGGGTATATGTATTGTCAACAAAATAACACAAATGGGCTACATCTTGCTCTAAATGCTGTTTTATTCTTATCACGGGTTCTGCTTTGGCTGGATACAACGAAGCGTGCCACCTGTTCTTGTTATCGATAAGTTATTATAGGTGCGTTTACAACCTTGATCCAAGATCATTTCTGAGAAGTCAACCAAATTTCATCTCGCCTTTCCATTTGAAATGGAAGTATCAATACTCCCTCCTTTAGTCTTTGTACCAATGTCCCCCGCATGATGGAATATTATCAAATTATGAGGGTATCAGTTTTATAGCATGACCTTGATAGTGGCCCTTGCGACCTGTACGTGCTCTAACAAATATGCTGGTATGAAAGATTCAAGTTTTGGTTAACCTCCATAATCTGCGCTGGAAAAAAAAATCACGGTTACTCCAATGGACTAATTGATTGGTCGGTTTGTATGACACGTACTCAACCTCGTTGCGTGGGCGAAATACGTAGTCGCACACTGTGGTCGAGTTCGGGCGGCGTGTTCTTGACACGGGTTTCTTGGTCTCGCGCTCGAACGGCGGGAACACGACTCAAGAACACTGTTCTTGGAACAGGATCACACACCACCTCCTCGTCAGGGTTTTCCAGGAACACACGGAAAAACTCGTGAGATTTAGATTTTTTTAAAAAGCTGCAAAAAGTAGAGAGACGGCTTCCAAAGACATAGACCATGTAGAAAATGGGAAGTTTTGGAAAATTAACATTAATTATTTTCCTTAACACAGAAATGAATGTTCCTGTCTTTATAGAAAAGAATTCATCCCATCAAAACCTTAACTCTCGAATAACGTACATGGACGCCGCCATGTTGCATGTTGCTTATGATAACCGGTTGTTTGTTCCCGGCGTCCGAGCGGCCGACCCACGAACAATAAATCGAGCTGTTCGTGAACATACGGGAACAAGCCGCCCGAACTCAGCCAAGGTGTCAATAGGTGTAGCAATAGCCACCCGACGCTCGTTTCGTACCGTACGTGACATAGGGTTACATAGCTACCAAGCACTCTGAAGAGTAATTGAGAGGCTAGGACTTTGTAAATGACGTATTCCACAACGTGAGGGAATGAGAAGGGAAAATTTGTGATCGATAAATTACCGCGACACCGATGCCGCTCACTGAGACAGTAATGGAAGCGTGTGGGTGCCAACTGCAATTTTTTTCGAGGTTCTAGTTACCAACTCGAGGTAATATATGGGACTCCCCCGCCGGTTGAGATATTGGCCGCGGCGGTATATCACTTTGACGCCGCTGCAAGAGCGTATGGCGCCTCGAGCAGAAGTACCCCTCATCGGTTGTAAAGAGCCATGTGGAGTGTTCATTTTCTTGGTAGTGATGAGCCGAAATGCGTGCATTTCCCAGTCTTTCGTGAACCAGAAAAGTTCTGTTCTGACCAAAGGAGCTTCTGTTGCTAAAAACAAATTGCGCCCCCTCTTGATTAAATTGGAGGCTCATAAGTAGCTTCGACGAGATTTGGAGTCACAGAATACTTACTCTCTGTGGCGAGATGGTGACTTGAATTTTTCTCTTGGCATAATTATGGCATTTATACGCATCCGTAGAGAGCATTCCCAACACTTATTAAAATTGCCGATGTATCGTTCGCGCATGCAAGGTCACGTTAATGTTTTTATTGTTCCCCAAACTGTGAATTTTAAATGTTGCATGAGAATAGTTACAACCGTTCCAGAACCGTTCGAGGAACATCTGAAATCTGGAAAGAGACGTCTTACGTGTCTGTTGCATCCAACGGCGTCCCGGCCCCTCCTAAGCCGCAGTAACACCCGTAATGATTGTATGCTAGTCCGCCCTCGATGAGATTCAGTCCGGTGGTACACACGGCTAACTCTCCCAGTTGATAGAAGGCGTTGGCAGTAATTGCTACATGTTGGTATCAAAAAAGAAAGAAGTAATAGCTTAAAGAAATATAATTCCCATAACACTGGACACTGGGGAATTCGGACAGGTGTTAATCCCCTGCAACGGAATCAGAATGTTCTGTGCGTGTGGTTAGGTTGCGTCAATTGAAATTCGTCCGTTATTAATGTAAAGTTTGTGGAAGGTTTATTTGCATGGGGAGGAAATCCCAATAATTTGTAAGGTTCTGATTGTCCAAATGCAAACAGACTGCAAAATTGAAGTCCATCCAGAATCAAGTTTTCAGGAGGGGTGAACTTTTTGGGGGGGGGACAAAATGTAATGGTAGTCCCGTATGGCCTTTGTGAGGGGGTGGAGCTATACATTGAAAGGCTTTTTACACGTTTTTTTGAAGGAATAAAATAAAATAAACCAAGGTAGCCTTTCAGTATTGAATAACTTGATTCCTGTCACAGAGGGGGGATGTGGCCCCCTTCAACTCATCTGTCCTTGAAGTTTAAGAATGGCGACTGACAACTACAGAAGTTTCGATTAAAAATAATGTAATGAGCAACGACTCCTGGGACAAAAGAAAACGAGATTAACCGCCGGATAGGGCCGACAGACGTCACAAATAGTCTGCCATTAAAAACAAAATGATCTAATGCTATATCTGGAAACGATTTCAATGATTTCGAATTTACTCACTGCCCTGTTCAGCTCTCTCATTAACAGGCACTCCATCCGCGACAGAGATTAAGCGGGTGCTAGAGAAGCACACAAACAATACGACCACAAACAATTTGTCCATAACGACCGACTCTGCTCATGTTGCAGTATCATCTGAGAGGGCAAATGTGTGTGACAGTAAATATAACTGTGGTGGGCGGAACATTCTGGCTTTTACTGCCGGATAATTAAACCAGGAAAACATGTCGAAGGTTCTACAGGTCTCAAACTTTGCTGGTAGGTATAACCTTCATTTGCAAGGAATGACTTGAATAATTAACAGCAAAATTTTGTTCTAGAGTGAGAGTGTCTGTGTCAATTATTAAACAGTTAATCTGTCACTGGTTATTTGTATTCAAATGACATGGAAGCATCGTAAAATGCAGCAGCACATTGGTCGAGGATGAAAAGTGGGTATCAGTATGGCAAATTCTGTCCGAAATCTCATCTTCCACCTTCGATTCTGAGATGTGTTCTTATATGCTTTTTGGGCTCGTTTCTCTGTCGATTACCACCGTTTTGCCTGCTTGAATCGAAGCGTGAGTTCCAATGTTTAATTTGTATATACCGGCCCACTGTAGTCAGCAAGCACTTTTGCAGCAGGTTTTGTATCTTTCTTTTCTATATGTTGGTCTCCGTCGACTTAACTGACGTATCAGGTACCTCAGGCGGGGCCCCGGAACCCCTTCGTCACTGATATAAAAGTGAGACTACGCGCACTTCCTAGAAAGCGTCGCTTGCTGGAACCTGTGCCGATTACTGCACTATTTCGCTAATAATCCTGGCTGAAGCTTGCTCACGGTGAAGCTTTTCTGTCGACGAACCATTGCAGAGGGAGTGGGGGGAGGACCACATACCGTTGTAATCCAGAACGCTGGGAGAATTACTTGCATGGCCGGCTGCGGCTAGTAATGGCACGTGCGTCTACGGGTTATAGATTTAATTAAGCCGCTACCTGGAGGTTTCCAGTCAAATATACGGCTGCTGGTCATAACTATAATGTACATGTAATTCGAACACGGAATCAACCAAAGTCGTCCGCCGATCTGCGGGAAGGGCATTCACGCAAAAGCTGAAAGGCTGTCATGGCTGAATGGGGGTTTTATATGGGGCTGGGGCATCAAAGACGTTCTGTGTTGAGGTAACTTTCACTGTCTTAATATCGGGAATAGAATTTGAGGTATTTTGAAATGTACCAAATTTCTTTTTATATCTATAAAGCAATCGACTTACTTGCACAAACACGACATACCGAAGAACAACATTGTGAAGAGCCGATTTATGAGAGCAAATCACCCTGCGTTTGATTTTTCAAGACACTTCCAGCGATATTGGCTTTGCTTTGAATTTACACAAGAGTCCGTGTACTGTGGTTGCAGCCTGTTCCCTTTTTATTAAGTCGTGTACAGTTTGAAGTCGCGGTCGAGAGATTTGGACTGCACCCTCTACTTAGCTTGATGTGCACCCTAGTGTGCGATAGCGCCCTCGCTTGACACGAAATGGACACCTGGACTTGATGTCCTGTGTACCTCCCAATTCAATAAAACGCAGACATATGCTTTTGTTAATACGATAAATGTACGTTAAAGTTTTAATCAGATAGATTATGCCCGTGTTATAGTTTCCTTTTGGTTCCCGACTGTATCTTAACGCTTGGGTAAAAATCAATTCCATAATTCAATTCAATTCGTTCTACGTAAACTAATCGTAGAAAATAATATGATTATACTTGGACAAATAACCTCTGTATCCTGAGTTCTTTCATAGGTTCATTATTTTGATGTTGAAAGAAACAGGCATTTAATTTGAACTCGATGAAATGAAAATAACACATAGTCGCAAGGCATATCTTATGTCTGAATATGGCTCCAGTGCTAGATCGGTTGTTAATTGTGTTGAAAGTTTTGATTATAGCAATGTCAGAACGAGAACGGTCTTTTTCTAAAGGTCGCTTAATAATTATTACTTTTTAAAAGTCAGGGCCTTTTCTCTTCCCTGTGTTGTCCAAATCTTTGCTCGCTCTTTCATGATGAATAATTTACAAAAAAATTGTATATTTTCCGGATTAAATTACCATTTTGCCTTCCAATTCAAATGTTGGCCAAGAAAAGTTTTTGTACTGCTTACAGCAGATTCCTCGTCTATGATTATGCGGCTAAAAGCTTCGTTCCCCGACTAATTTGTTCCTAATGCTTTGAACAGAAATCTCGAATAATTCTGCTAGTTTCTACATGGTTTGAGGATGGTCATCATTGGTGTTGTAACAATTAAGCGGTTCTTTTAATGATAGGTCAGTGGCGCTCCCGGGTCTTGGGTCCTGCTGAGGGTAACATGAGTTTTATTTTCCAAAAAAAAGGACGGTCCAATGGGAGACTTTGAGACGGTGGCGACAGACAAGCTGGTCCTTTTCCGCGATTGTGCCCGTGCTCATAACTGACACGCATGCCCACATCAACCAAAAAGGTCCGTTGTGTCTGTCGCCACCAAGCGTCTCAAAGTCTCCTTTTTTTCTTTTCACCCATAACGATTCGAACATGCTGCACTTTCAATCCCCAAACAAATAGCAACGTGTCCCCATGGTGTTCCGTCCCCGCTTGATTCGCCACTGAGAAAGACTCTTTCACATCCCGACGTACGAGTTCGATATTATATTTCATAGGCAGGAACGATAAAAACGCTTGGTCCATCTAGATTTCTTGCGACGGGTTATTACCACAAGAGGGCTGTGCATTCTCTGCACCCGGCACATTCTTTGAAGGTGGTATAAAAACTTAGCAAGATAAAATCCACTTTTATGATCCTGCAAGGCTCTGATATTTGATACTTTGGCCTCCAAGTGAATGCTGTTGTCTGTGTGCATGCAAGGGCTCCTAACGGTGTAAAGAGATGTGTTACCAGTGCCGTTGCTATAGTTGATTCATAGCGTCTGGTTTGGTGGTATGAGTGCGGCACGACGTATCTATACTAGGACACTCCCTCACCCGTGAAATGGTATCAAGCCCTCGACTTCTCTACATTTTATTTTGTACTCGCGTCACTGGTATACTGAAATAACACTCATTTACAATGATGACTTGATTTTTTTTTATAAAAGAGTTTTTTCTGAGGCCCTCGCTTGGGAAATAATGTTCAGAAGGACGTGTGACCGCTTGGTGGCGCAGTTACCGTGTTTCGTGTGACACCGAGGCTGTAACTGGGCGTGGCGTCATTGCAGTTGGCCAGGGTGCCTGTTTCGGAAGAAGACCCAATAAAGTTTGAAATGACACGTATTTGACTTCATTTGACGTCTCTGGATTCTCTACGCTGTTATAAAACTTCTCGCCCTCTTTAAGTCTTCATTTTGATTAGCCATTGTTCTAACGCAATACAGTATGCACTTCGAGCACAAGCACCCCCTCATCAGTTGAAGAGAGCCAAATTGGTGGAGAGTGCCCATGCTGTTGGAAGCGATACCGTAATCCGTACATTTCACAGTCGTTTGTGAACCAGAAAAGTGCAGTTCCCACCACTGATCTCCATGATAAAGTCTTCAAAATGAAAATCAATGGTTACGATCAATAGGGCCTCCGTTAGTAGGAAAACTGTACCTTCTCTTGGTCCATGCTCGGGGCAATATACTTCCATGTTTCCGCGCACGGAATGGAGATGGCTTATGGGCCCCGTTTTTTCATGTACATGTATATTCGTTATTAGTGCTTCGTATCAGTTTAAGGCTTGTTCTAGCCAATAGGGAATCGGGAATAAGTTGAAGAAATATGGGTGGTTTCAGCATCATGAAGATAACTGTGATATCACAAATCTTAGGAGTCACTGTTATTTCTCCCGATCCCAAACTTCAAGTCAATTTTCCATTTTGCCGGAGCTTATCACGAAAACTAAACACAATAAAACGACTGAAGAGGCGTCAAGCAATCATATTTCTTACGAATTTTTTCGGCATAATATAAATGTTTTTCTACCAACAAAATCTAAAATCATTGAGCTTTGGGGTTATCAACTACAGTAAGAAAAAAGTAGTACCAGAAAAATCATATTTAAACTTTGGAATGGTATTTTTATTCCTTTTTTCAATAAATAAAATATCTTTAAATATCGGCTTACATTTTTATCAATGGGAAAAACAATACAATACGAATTTGTGTACAATTTCCAAATAAAGATAATGACGAAATAACGTATCACCGTGGCTAGAATAAATGCCGAACATTACAATCCACACTGATTCAAAAACTCCGAGTACAAACATGAATAAAACTGGAGAAAAAAATAACTGTATGACATAAGAACGTATCTATGTTTTCAAGAGGGAAAAAACGTGATGCTGAACTCCAACGGATATAAAACGTCACCTCTCACTTATCACTGCATCTTCTTCAAATCTTCGGGGGTAACAGTTCACTGTAATTTGAGATGCCTTCCCTCCTGGTGTTAATTCCACAATTCAACAAATGAATTGAATGAATTTGTACAAAATTGAATTGTCACAATGTTCCAAAGCACATTCGTACCGTTTCATAGTTTCGTTCATTTTCTCATAATTTGGAGGCGTGCCAAGAGACATTTCAAAATCTGAGATGTCAAGCGTATACAAAATTGTTTTCCGTTGTTTTCTTAGATGCTTCACTTTCAATTTTTATCTTTTGCAGATCGTTTACAGATTTTTATCTTTTGTCGAAGTTAATTGTTATTAAAAATGACAATAAAGTGTTCGTTTTAGTACAAGCTCATCGTGTCAGGGCGTGGTGGGCCACAACTGGTTCCCACTATGAATGAGATGACAACTTTTAAATATAAATTGGAATCATACGAGCTTAAAAAGCCAACTCTGAAAAAAAGTTTCTGGCGATAATATGGCCTTTTTTCCCAATTGATGAGGAAACCTTGTTTTATCGCCTCAAAAAGAGGACAGATCCCTAGTTGTCGTGGTAACCACCACACCCTCCGAACTAGCTAGTAAGTATATAAAAGAAACCAGTCACCGAAGTGGTGCGATAGCAAATCGAAGTCTCCAGATTCACGAATATTTTGGCTGGAAATCCGCGCCATGTTCAATATACACTTTGTTTAAACCTGATTGTAGACGTTCTTGACGCAGTAGCCTGGAATGCAGATGTCTGTTTCTTGATGCGTTTTAAATGAAGTACAAAACTGGTTATCGAAAGATTCATCTTAGTCGGGATGTAAAGCCCGATACAATAAAACACCATCCCACACCGTATCTCTTAATAATGATACGTTATCTCTCAATAGTTACCTCATAAACAATTTCAATAGATCTGTATAAGTTATATAAGGCTAAACCATGTTATAAAATATCTTAAATATCTTGCGCACTCATAAATACACATTTTCCCCAAATCAGGAATGTAAATCGCTCTTTTCCATCTTTTGGTAATCTCTTAAACTTATATGCTCTACGTATATATTCTTATGTATAAAACAAGGAAGATTGTGTACATCTGATTGCTCCAACAAGAGGCGGTATACTTTGTAACTTGTAAAGTGCGAAGTGGCATTAATTAAGCGAATCTTCAATTGACGTCTTCGCTAGAAAACAGTCTACTCAGAGGTGAACTTCAGCTGCATTCTGCAGCCTCGTTCAAAAAACAGGTTACCCCTCAGAAATATCCGATGGGGGAAAAGACTTCGTGTTATTCTTCCGATATATAAGTACAAAATAATCAAAACAGTTAAAGATAGGAGTAATTAACACATTCATCTGTGCATAGGATAAACATATAAGTTTCTCTGATTCATGCAAACTTCACCAAGACACCTTGATCTTAATTCGCTTTTTTGGTCAGTGTATCAGAATCTTTTTTTCCTTTGTTTTGTTAGAAATTCAGACAAACTTGCAATGCTCTTTGCATCCGGCCTGCGGATACACTTCTTTTCTTGCATTATATTCGATCCGATTTGTGTCACCGTTTGCAAGCTCGCATTGCTTTCTTGGTAACAACTTGTCTGGACCGCAATTCTTACGCGCATGCGTGCTTAAGTCAGCTGTCGTGGCAACAACTGAAGGCATTCACACGCAACTGGCTGCGCCGCGGCAAAGATCGATGGTTTCAACAGTTCTCGGGAAAAAATAACAACCTTTGAAGTCACATCACCGTGCACTTGCCCTTCAGTTTCTCACGCCTCTTTTGGGACTTGGACTTTTTCGTCTCCAAGTGGAGGCTCATGGTCCGTCGCTTCTCCAACTGAAGCAGGTCCTGGAACAGCTCCTTGACATTGTAGTTTGTCTTGGCCGACGTCTCCAAAAACGCACAGCCCCAAGACTTGGCCTGCTCCATGCCTTCCTGTATGGTCACCTCCCGGTTAGCATCGTCGCACTTGTTGCCCACCAGCATGATGGGGATGCCATCGATGTCACCTTTGACCTCGCTGATGACGTCATAGATGGGCTTGAGTTCCTCCAACGACTGCCGGCTTGTGATGGAGTAGACGAGGATGAAGGCGTGGCCCTTGGAGATGGACAGGCGCTGCATTGCTGGGAATTGGTGCGAACCAGTCGTGTCTGTGATCTGAAGTGTGCATACATTCTTATTGCAGCTGATGACTTGCCTGTAGGTGTCCTCTATTGTAGGGATGTAAGTCTCTCGAAAGGTGCCCCGGACGAATCGCAGTACCAAGGAACTTTTCCCAACTCCCCCGGCTCCAAAGACCACTACCCGATAGTCGTTGCTCTGTTCAGGCATGACGCGTAAACGGATGCTCCGATCGCGTGGTAACTGCAAAAAACAGACACAAAAGAGGCGAGAAATATCAATTTGGCGATCGAACAAACAAGTTTCGCACGAAACTTCAGAGGGATCAATATGCCACTCCAAAGAGATCACATGCT